TGAATATGAGGCTTCAGCGTGGGAATATGGTTTCCTTTGAGAGACTTCTCTCCAGCATTCCAACTTCTCTCCTTTCCTGGACTACTGGCACCTTTTCTATTCATTAGTTAAAATATTTGAAATGTGGGCTCTAGCTGTTTATAGTGCTATACTCTCACAAACTAGTAATAACGAAGGAAGTGTATTATGACTTTGCATCCAATCTGATGGGATTTTTTTAATAAAATACCTAGAGGCAAATAGTTTATGGACCCTGTTAGACAAATCTTTAAAGATTTAATTTTATGCATTACGTTTATTTCATGTACCACAGATCTCGGGATTAGAAAGTGGTAATTCACCCATCTCAGTGCCCCCCAAGTTACAATTTGGCAGCGACTGATACCAAAGAGAGAGTAAACCTGACTTTGTCAGTATTTTTCACCACTGCATCCTGGTGGTCTTGAACAAACTGATATCAATAAATATTATTGAATGAAGGAGAAAGTGAATGAATGATGAATTGATTGCATTCCTTGGGGCAACACTACTACGGGATATAAGCAAATGAGTTGGGGTCATGGGAACTGGGGGCAGGAATTTGTGGAGCAATCTTCAGAGACTGGAGAATAGAGACTTGGCAGTGTGCTTAAGATCAGAATCCTGGGGAAGGTAGCTATCAGAGCCAGGTAGATAGTTTGAAGAATCCAGATTTTTTAAAAATTAATAGATCTAAGTGAAGTAGATATAATTGATATGAAATGGCCTATTTGTTCTTCATGATAAATATTATTTTATTTTTTATATATAAATAAGAAAAAGTTTGAAATTAAATAAAACATTTTATATGGATTAAAAGCACTCACCTTCCCCTTTAAGGAAGGTCCTACTGATAAGCTACAGGAAAATATCTTCTTACCCTTTATAGCAAGCTCGTCCAACCCGCAGCCCAGGATGGCTTTGAATGTGGCCCAACACAAATCGTAACCCTTCTTAAAACATGAGATTTATGCACAGACCTTTTTTTTTTTTTTAGCTCATCAGCTATCGTTAGTGTTAGTGTATTTAATGTGTGGCCGAAGACAATTCTTCCAGTGTGGTCCAGGGAAGCCAAAAGATTGGACACCCCTGCTTTATAGGTAAAACATTTTACTTTAAAAAGTTGACACTGTGAGAAACCTCAGCAACTTACTATGTAAAAGTCATTTTAAATGCTATTTCTTACAATACCAAGTTGATTAAAATGTAGTACCTGCCCTTCTGGAGTTTACAGTCAAACTATAGGATGTATAGTTTTCCATGTACAAAGCATTTTCAAGTACAAATAGATTTCATTTAATCTCCCAACCACTCTGAGAGAGAGGTGGTGGTATCTCTGATTCCGTATATGCAGGCAGGATTCGAACACAGTTTTATTCAAGGTGATGCTGCAATTGAGTTGCAGAATCAGAATTTGAACTCCAGTCTTCCAGCTCTAAAAGCCAGAACAACTTCTACTGACATGCAGTTTCTCCATGTACAAGAGGAAGAGGAGGATGTGGTAGCAGCTACTAATGACCAGGCACTGATTGTGTTCTAAGTGCCTTTGAATGCATTAATTCAGTTATTCCTATGAAACAACCCTATCATATAGGCACTTTTATCCCCATGTTACAGGCCTAGCGATTGAACAACTTGCTCAGTATGATTGAGTAAGTGGCAGAATCCAGATGCAAACAAGGCAGTCTGACTCGGTAGCACATACTTTTCACTACTGTGCTAGACCAATAACTGCAATATACAGCAGACCATGATTGGTAACATAAGACATTTGATAGCAGAGTCTTACGTGAGATCAAGAAAGAAAAAATATTATTTCTTGTTAAGGACATCAGGACATATTTCAGAGAAAGGGTGGTATTTGAGATTAACCATGAAAGATGGAAGCAACTCTGAGAGAGACAGAGATGAGGGAAGAACAGTCCAGGCAGAGACAAAAACATGTGCAGAGATAAAGAGACAGAAAAGTAAACCATGTATTTGGAGATTATTGCATAGTTCAGTTTGTTTAGAGGTTGTTTGTTTAGAGGTTAGGGATCATGTATCATAAAGCAATGTGAAACCCTAAAATGATACGCTAAAATTGGTAGGTGCATTTTTTTTTTTTTTTTTTTTGAGCCAGGTCTCAGTCTGTTGCCCAGGCTGGAGTGCAGTGGCATAATCACGGCTCACTGTAGCCTAGACCTTCTGGGCTCGAGTGATCCTCCCACCTCATTCCCCTGAGTAGCTGGGACAAAGATGCATGCCACCACACCCGGCTAATTTTTGTATTCTTTGTAGAGACATGGGTTTCACCATGTTGCCCAGGCTGGTCTCAAACTCTTAGACTCAAGCCATCTGCCAGCCTCGGCCTCCCAAAGTGCTGGGATTACAGGTGTGAGCCATCACACCCTGCTGGGATGTGTACTTTTTTTTATAGAGCTGTCATCAAATTCTCAAGGGAGGATGTGACTCAAAAGAGAGTCACCAGCTTGGGAGTAGATAGAAATATGACTGGTTAGTAGTCCGGGGACCTAATATGGAAGGTCTCTTGTAACAGTCTGCAGTTTATACTTGATACATGTATTTTTTTTTTTATTTGGAAGTGTCATAATTAGAGCCTTGTTTTTGGAAGATATATCTGATATTGTGTGGATATGTTAGACTAGAGGTAGGAAAGACATTTGAGAAACTTGATCCAGGTGAAAATTCATGTTAAGGTGTAAAGGGAATCAGGAATCTATAGACAGAAATGGAGAGAGACTCATCAGGACTTAGGAACCAGTTTCTATGGGAGGCAACAAGCATGGGAGAATGGAAGGGTGCTAACTTACTGGGCACCACTTTTGTGTCAGTGTTTGCTAAATACTTCATAGAAAACTGTGGTCCATAAAACTTCATTTTCTGTGCAGATCAATTCAGAAAATCAATATAGCTGTGTTTACAGTATTTGAGCAAGTTTCAAGTGGTGCATATCTTGTGCATTGGCTGTCCCACACCTTCCCGAAGTTCCGTGATTTTCTAGAAGGACTCACAGTCTTCAATAGCAGATTATACTTATGAATAAGATTTATTACAGCAAAGGATACAAAGGAAAAAGAAAAAGTGGGGAAAAGATAAGCATCTACAGTGGAGTCCAGAGAAGTCATGCTTGGACTTCCTAGTACTTTCTCTTAGGAAACCACACAGGGCATGTTTTCTTTTTAGCAGTGAACTACAGGGACATGTGTGGAATGTCTCTGCCCAGGGAAACCCATTCTGGTGCTTCCAGGGGATTTAGCAGGCTGGTCATATAGGCACCACCTACTAGCAACTGGCCACAGCAGCTGAAACTCAGGACCCTCAATAATGAAGCCAGGTGCGCATCATCAATGTTAATGTTTGTGCAAGCAGCCCTGAGAAACCTAATCTGGCATAGTTCATTGCTCTGATATATATAACAAAGTCATTAATCATTCATCTAAAGAACACTCCAGGGGCCACCTTCTCAGGGGTTGGGCAAGGATCAATCATGGTTCTCTCAGAGACTTACAAAGAATAAGCAAGCAGATCTGCTCTGTTGTCTCTTTGCTGATTCCAATGGTGATGTGTTCTATGTCATTCTTGAGATTGGACCATATACTTACACAAGATTTTTTAATTCTACTTCATAGAACTCAGTTAATTGCATAGAAATGAATAAGAAAGTTCTTGCTTTCAAGAAGTTCACAGTCATAATACAGTGTGATAAATGTAATAAAGAAGCAAATTAATAGTGTTAGTATGGACAGGGCAGTGATTAAGTGTCAGGAACTCTTTGGTAAGCGTCTTTGGAGGAAATGCCATCTAAATGGGTAAAATCTGCTATGTTAGGATTTACTTAACATATTTACTACACACATAAGTGAGTTTTCTAAACTAGTTTCATATAAAGCAATTATTTATTCATTTATTCCACAAATATTAAGTGCTTGTTCTAGACACTGCTAGGTTTTGGGGATACACGGCGCCCACTACCATGCCCGGCTAATTTTTGTATTTTTAGTAAGAGGGGGTTTTGCCATGTTGGCAAGACTGCCTCGAACTCCTACACTCAGGTGATTCACCCGCTCTCCAAAGTGTTGGGATTACAGGCGTGAGCCACCACATCTGGCCTGACCTTAACATTTTTAATGGCAACATATTCCATTATTTTTAGCTCATTTTCCAGGGACAAACAATTTTTCTTATATATATGTTTTCTATATTTACTAAAATCGACATTTTTCCTGAAATGCCTTCTTTTGAGAAGCTTTTTGTTCAAGCTATTTTCTACATGACATTGATAATTCTTTTTTTTGTGATATTTACAGTGTATAACTTGGGAATTTCTTTGTAGTTGTATGTTCTGTTTAGTAATTTATTAAAAAGTGGTAAGGTTTTAAATTACAGATAATAAAATAAAGTTAGGACCTTAATAGTGATGTTACTTTTGGAATCTGAATTTCATATTTGTTATGACATGTCATTTCTCACAATTCTAATCACTGTATTGAAATATACTCACTACTTGCTAATATGTTTACTAAATTGATGCTTCCAAATTTTTTTTGACATTAGATTTATTTTAGATGAGTAATGTACATAATACAATTAGTAGTGAATTATTATATTTTTGCAAAAAAATTAAGTAGTTTGTGAAGTCACCACTTAATCTTTAGTAGCCAAAGTTAGAAATGTTGCAGATAAATTTTGAATAATATCCAATTCCTA